GTGCTGCACACACAGTATTCACTATAAAAGTACTACTTGCATGTAACTAGAGACTTGTTATGGAATTACCAATTCACCAGCCATTAACTTTAAAGTGTTTATGGTTCTTAGACTGTGTTGTTCTCATTTGGATACAAACAAAGGGCACCCTATAAACCTAAAATAAGAACTTTTAAGAAGTGTTTTGATGTCAGCCAGTCTTCACCATTAGGTCATGTGTTGATGGTTGATTATAAACACAATTCAGAAGTCAAAGTGGAACTGTTGTTCCATGGAGTAATTTTACAAGAACACTGGCTCCATAGCTTGTTATAAGCTCATAGTGGTTCAAAGTATATTTATATGATTGGATCAGTACAGTAATATTGTAATATAACCATGCTTGACAAAATTAAATGTTTGATAGATAGCAGGATCAAAATTGTGAGTAATGGTGGTGTTTTCTTTACTCACCATAAGTTAAATCCACTAAAAGCACAATTTATGAGGGGGTGAAAAACTATAATTAATCTACACACTTATTTTAATTGACTATGACATTATTATTCATTGTGGATTAGCTCTTCTTTGAGCAGAATCCAAATGCAGATGTGATTAGTCCAGCGTTTTCCCCTTATCACTAACATCAGGGGCAACTTAAGATAATTCTGTAATTATAAAATTACTGTTCATTGAGGCATTTACTAAGAAGAGACAATGTCACAATTGCTTTTTCTTTGTTTCATACATTGATTTTTGTTTTTGATTTTTTTGCTGGTTATAAATATTGAAATTAAGCCAATTATTCATTTTAGCATTTGATGTAACACACATTGTCCAGTGCCAATTCAACTGTCACATGCATAACGACACCTTGATCTGTTTAGACCTCTAGAGACACTGGGGACAATGAGTTAATGAATATTCTACTGGTTGGTTTTGTGTGTCAACTTGAGGCCAGCTAGAGTCATTAGGGAGGAAGAAGCCTCAGGTGAGGTAATCCCTTCCTGAGATCCAGCTGGAAGGCTTTTTCTCAGTTAGTGATCAATGGGGGAGGGTCCAGGCCACGGTGGGTAGTGCCCTGGGTTGCTATTCCTGTGTTCTCTAAGAAAACAGAACTAACAAGCAAGGGGAAGCAAGCCAGTAAGCAGCTCTCCATCAGCTCCTACCTCCAGCTTCCTGCCCTGCTTGAGTTCTAATTCTGAATTCCTACAATGATGGACTGTGATCTGCAAATGTAAACCCAATAAGCCCTTTCCTTCCCAACTTGCATTTTGATTATGGTGTTTTGTAGCAGCAAGAGAAATCCTAACTAAAACAGAAGTTGGTACCAGCAGAGTGGGATATTCGCTGTGACAGGCCTGACCATGTTTTTGGTAGCATGTGGAAGGATGTTGGAACTTCAGGCTGGAAGAGCAATTGAGTGTTAGGAGTTCTGTGGGATGTTCTGTGGGAACTTGGAAGATAAGAGCAGTGCAGAGGGTGGAGGCCTGGCTTGTGAAGTTTGAGAGAGAAGTTTAAAGACTAACAGGGCCATTTGTTATTTTGATTTGAAATGCTATGAAACCCGAGCTAAGCCAAATACTTTCAAGAAAGTGTCTCCTATGCAAATCTCGCCTAAATCTCAGAAATCAACTGATGACTGCCAGCTGTAACCAACCATCAGTATTTCTTTTTATCAGAATGAATTTTGGCAGTACAATTACATTTAATATTAAAGATGTTTGTACAGTTTCTAAATTCTTAACTATACTTAGAAGACTAATCAGTAAGCTGTTTTTAGTTTTTTCCATTGCTTTTAGAGAATGTAGCTAAATAGATGGCTAATTTTTAAACCAATATTTTAGGAAGTGATTAATTCAAGAAAATTATAATCCATGCAATGGCTATATTTTTCTAATGTAAAGAAAACGACTTCCAATTAGAATTAAGTTAATATTAGATCATTATCTTTTTTTCTTTCTTTTTTCTTTCTTTTTCCTTTTTTAAAATTTTAATTAGAAACAAGCTTGTTTGACATGTCAATCCCAGTTCTCTCTCCCTCTCCTCTCCCCTGCCTCCCAACAACACCCTGCACCATCCCAATTCTGCTCCCCAGGGAGGGTGAGGCCTTCTATGGGGGAATCATCAAAAAGTCTGTCATATCATTTGGATCAGGGCCTAGACCCTCTCCTTTGTGTCTAGCCTAAGAGAGTATCCCTCCATGTGGAATGGGCTCTTGAAGTCCATTCGTGTACTAGAGATAAATATTGATCAACTACCAAAGGCCCCATAGATGCCCAGGCCTCCTAACTGACAGCCATGTGCATTATCTTTTTAAATTATTTGCCTTTGTGAGATAATAAAATAATTACATCATTTTCTCCCACCCTTTCCTCCTTCCCAAAGATTCTTCTGTGAAATTCCTTGTTGTCTTTCAGATCCCTGGCCTCTTTTTGTTATTGTTGTTACATACATACACATAAATGTATATATTCATACACATTTTACATACATAAATATATCCAGCTCACTCTGTATAATGTTTCTTGTATGTATGCCTTCAGGGTTGACAGTTTGGTATTGGATAATCAATTGATGTGTTTTTCCCTAGGGAAGACTCTCTCACTCTTGGCATTTCCTCAGTTGCCCATAGTTGTGTAGGGTTGAAGCCTCCAAGGTTTTCCCATCAATATTAACATGTCTATTGATGTTGCCCTTGTTTAGCTCACTTTTAGGCAGTTGTGTTAGTGAGATATTAGTGTAGCTTCTGACAGTCATAGGAGATTCAATCGCACAGCAAACTTCCTCTGGCTCTAAGAATCTTTCCAATAACTCCAGCAGTTATCTTTGAAACTTAGTTGCAAGAACTGTATTATAGATGTAGAAACTGGGACTGAGCTTCTCTACTCTGCATTTTGACTGGTTGTGGTTTTCTGTAATGGTATCCATTTTTTGTCAGAATAGTTTCTTTGATGAGGGGTGAGGACTACAGTTATCTGTGGATATAAGGACAACATTTGGAATGTAGTTATGGATTATATTCGTGTAGATTCTCCTCCACAATCCATGGTTTCACTAGCCCTGGGTAGTTGGCTAGGTTTCCAGTACCACGTATGAGTTTTCTTTTATTGAGCTAAGTCCATTATAGAGCTGGGTTGTTACCACCAAGGTATGCATGCCACTACAGCACCCTTAGGGTTATTGTGACATGCTTCATCATTGTGATTCATAGGATCACAGCTGGATGGGATTGTTGGTTTCTTCCCTCCTTTGGAAGATCATATGTCTCCATTTACTACCATAAAAAGCCTCAGGGAAGAGGCTTTGGGGTCAGTTAAAAAACAGGGGCACCTGGGACCTGTTTCTTAAGTGTATGGCATCTTTCGCCATAGGGATTGCCTTTTATCTCTGAGGGACAGCAAACAATACCAATAACTTGTAATGTTTTAGGAGTCTCCTGGACAACTTTGACCATCATTTCAGTAGAGGACTTCCCATGCCTGTTGTTGGAGTTTTCGTTAAGTGGTCTATGGTTCATGGTGGCCAGGGGTGTGGGGGGGAATTATGGTCATCCCAAATGGGAACATTTCTTTTTAACTATACATGCATATTTACTTACCAACTTACATATATTAGAACTGTTTTTATTTAGGTAGTTAGTAGTATAACATGACTCTTTTTAGACCACCTAAGTATTTTTTAATTTTTAAAACAAACTACTTGAATTTACAATTTTCTTTAGTTACAAAGGAGAAAACTCAATTTCAAGTTTTGTAATTTTTAGTTGAATCATCAAGAACTTTATAATCATTTAATATGTTTATTATTTACCAGTCCAAGCAAGACTGTTCCTTGAAATTTTTAGTCATTTTTATTATTTAAAACTCTATCACATATATTTCTCCCTTAATATATTACATTGTTTTGGGTTCATTTGTATCAAATTAATTGGGATTATAAAAAGAATGTAATAATTTTCTCAGATTCTTAAACACATAGATGTGCAGTGTACAATGTGGAGATTAACATTATGTTTTGACATGGGCATATTTGAGATTTTTAAAATGCAATTCTTATTTTTATTGATTGTCTACTCTTGTCTACATTAATAATAGATGCCTAGTTTATGTAACCTTCCTTTACACCTTCCATTAGTCAATCATGAGGTTGTTTTCTAATATAGAAGGAGGAGGTAAAACCATAATTCCCATTATTTAACAAGTCATATTGACAACAACAATATATCACATCAAGAAGTGAGGTTTTATTGTTGATTATATTTGAAGCACCATAATAATACATTAATTTCTGACCTGTAACAGAGTCAAAAATCTTGGTGTTGACAAAAATGATTTTCATTTATATTTAATAAACCATAACTACATGTATTTACTTTTACTCTCTATATACATGGCTTAGGAGTCAGACTAGTCAATAATAATGTTAAGAGAGAAATCACTTGTGCCTTTTGTTGGAATACCTTTCTTTATACATAATCAAAGTTTACAAATAATATTCTAAAACATTTACTTCTTTTCTTCAGTTACTCCTCACATCCATAGTGAATCACTTTATTATATATGCTAATAATTTAAACATTGCAAGTATAATTTGTGGTCATATAGCAGTAAGAAGACAACATATACAATAAAGAATATTAACTATATAAGTATATTATTTAAGACAACTCATAGTGGAATCATATGCTAATTCAAATGACTTTGCAGTTATTTTGTTAGAATTTCTTACTTGTTTTCCTTTTTTATTGTTTCCCTTGTAAGAATATCATTCTAGCAGACATATCAATATTTGACTGTTAATCTGTCCTAAATACAAACATTTAAAAGGCCATAACAACTTTTGATCTGCTTTCTCTACAGTTATTTGTAGCTTGCTTGTTGTACTTATCATGTATTTATAATGTAAAGAACAATAGTGTTTATTAGACAATACTCAAGACAGGCATTACTAAGAGAATCAAACAGAAAAATTCATTGACCTTACATTCTTTGTGTTATTTTTTTCTTGTAGTTAATCTACTAGATTCAAAAACAATTCAAGGGGAGCTGGGCTGGATCTCCTACCCATCGCACGGGGTAAGTTCAGTAGATCATTGAAATGAGTGTGATGTTGTCTTTTGCTTCTCTCAGAGATAATAAGGAATGTTCAATGCATTTTCTGTAGAAATCTCTGTACTTCTTAGGAAAGATTATATTGATGATTGAGTCCACTCATGGACCCGCACAATTTAATGTTCATACCCCTTGCAGCGACAGAAGTTTTCAGAGTGCTTTTCTCCTGGATTAAGAGTTGCTACACTGGGATGATTAAATACTTTAATTACTATTTGCATTTTATAGATAATCTAAGTATGGTTATTTAGTAACTTTTGTGATAGGATAAAGATTATTTGACAAGACTGAATTTTTGTATTGTATTCCAAGTGTATTTTTGGTAATGGTAATTTCCCAAGTTAAAGCCTTAAAAATTAACCATGGTGATATGTTCATGTACTACAGAAATAAATATTCAACTGTGAATGCATATGTTCCACTCATTTATTTAGAATATCTTTCACTTGTTTAAAAACTTGATTTTATGTAGATGCTAAGACCAGGAACACCTTAACTTTTTTATATAAATTTAGACTTTGCCAATTCTGGCACACTTAGCTAAAATATATGGCATTTTGGCACTCTGCATGTTTCTAATAAGTCTTTATTTAAGAAAATTAAATTTATTTATTTGGAAAAAAGTGGTTGATACATTTGGAAAACTCTCATGCCTCTCAACATAGTAAATATTCAAACCTACTTTCTTTGTGAGCTTAGTTTGAATGAAATGCAAACAGTTTGAAATATTTCTCATAGAAATAAATTTATGTGGTCTCTTTCTGTGGTTGTATTCTTTCCAAAGAAATTTTAATTACTATAATTTACCATTGTATCCATCTTTAGATTGGGATACCTAAACATACTGACTTACTTTCACAGTACTATCAACTCTTTTCCTTCACAAGGGGATGTTTTCTGTCAAGGATACTTCATCCATCTGTTCTCTTTGCATCTGCTTTTCTTTATGGCACACCTTGATGTTGACAAAAGGCCAAAACCCATCATCAGGTTTTCTGTGTTGCTGTGGAAGGGAGAGAATAAAATAAGACAGGATTTGGTTTTCCTATAGGTGTAGGGAAATTAAATAATTTGGATAAAACATAACTTTGACAGTCAGAAAAATAAAACTCAGGACTGAGTTGGAGAACTCATTTAATACTACTTGGCTAAAGGCGATACCTAATTTTGCTTTTATATCGTTAAGCTTTACATTATTTCATTGACAACACAGTGTAGAAACTCACTGCTTAAGTATAGAAGAAATATTAATTCCATACTGACAATTTTACTAACACATACATTTGCATACCCAGCTATTTTGTGAACCACAGAAAATTAATTTGTGTACCAAAACAATACTCTACCATATGTTAACTTTTTAAAATAGCATGAGGATAACAGATCTCCACATATGAAGAATTCGGGTAAATAAAGTCTTTCCTATTTTGATTAAATAATTAAACAATTTCCCATTCTTAATCTCAAGGACTTTATGATAAAATATGTTAGGCATGTCTATATTCAGACATAGGTTGTCTAGAATATATAAAATCCTGTGATACAAAGTGTGGTATAAATGACAATCAACAGCATCAGCACCCAAAGATAAGTGAAAATGGAAGTTATCAGTGTTGCCTTAGACATCTTGAGTCAGAACCTGCATCTCAGCATGCTCTCTCCTCATTTGATTGCTAAGCACAAACTTGGAGCAGAGTCTCTGTCCCAGTTTTCTGCTTCTTAGCATAGGTGTCCCCCTGTTTTCCTCAGTGTACAGTTTTCAGTTTCTTCTTTTATTCAGTGTGGAGGAAGACAACTTCCCTTAGCTGTTTTCTTTCTTCCCTTTGCTTCGCTCTGCTGAACTTGTGGACATAATTTCCTACTTTCAATGTTTAAATCTTCAGTTCAACTGCTTGAAGTTCATGACATAATTTTCAGGCAAAAAAGAAAAATTTTCTTTTGTTGCTGTTTGTATGTTTGTCTATCTCTCTGTGTGTTTGTCTGTATGTGTATGTGTGTGCAGTTTGGAATATACATGCGTACAAGTGTATACATATATGCTTGTTTGTGCAGTGTGTATATGTGTGTGCAGTGTGGCATTTACATGTGTATGAGTATGTGTGTGTGTGTGTGTGTGTGTGTGTGTGTGTGTGTGTGCGCGCGCGCGCGCGCGTGTGCTCGCGCGCTCTCATGCGCACGCGCTCGCATGCTCATGTGCCTGTGTGTATTTAGGCCAGAGTTCAATGTCAAATGTCTTACTTTATTCTTCTCTCCCTTATTTTTGAGACAGGACCTCTCAGTGATCCTGAAGCTCAATTTTAATAGTTTTCTTCTAGTATTGTTTTAAGACAACATCTCACTATGTAGCTTGCATCAGTCTACAACTTAGTTTCTAGCCTACTCTTATCTTGAGCTCATAATCTTCTTCATTTTCCAGAGTTGGAATTACTGGTATTTAGCTTATGCCTGGATCAATTTATTTGTTTTACCTAATCTTTCCCCTCCCTGTTCAATATAAGAAAGATGGAATCATTTTATGTCTGTAATTGGTTATTTAGAAAACAATTGTTAAAAGTTATTGAAGTTATTGAAAGCTTGTCTATAAATTATAACATTTAATAACTAAACTTGAAACAAATTTGAATGTCTTGTTTTTTATTAGTTCAAATTAGAAATAAGCTTGCTTCACATGTCAATCCCTTCTCCCTCTACAGCCCCTCCTTCCAATCCCCCACCAGTTCCCCACCTCATCCCCTCTCTGCTCCTCAGGGATGGAAGGCCATCCATGGGGGTTCCCCCAAAGTCTGTCATATCATCTTGGGCAGGGCCTAGGCCCAGGTTATCCTGGAACTCACTCTGTAGACCAGGCTGGCCTTGAACTCATAGAGATCATCCTGCCTCTGACTCCCAAGTGCTGGAAATAAATGTGTGTGCCACCACCTCCCAGTGTGATATTTTACTATTAATTATTTCTTCTGAAGATTAAAGCCATATTTTAGTTAACCTAAGCAATTCAATAAGATGCACTGATGTTTATGAGTTAATTGGTTAAAATAAGACATTCATGTGTCAGAGGCAGGTGGATCTCTATGAGTTCAAGGCCAGCCTGGTCTACAGAGTGAGTTCCAGGATACGAAGAGAGTGGAAATTAAATCATTCTTTATTGATTTAGAGCAATGGTTCTCAAGATATGCATCTTGAATCTTTGGGGGTTTGAATGACGCTTTCAGATATGCTACATATAATATATTTACGTTACAATTCATAACAGTAGCAAAATTAGTTATAAAGTAACAATGAATTAATTTTGTGGCTGGTGGTCATCACAACATGAGGGATTGTGTTAAAGGCTTGCAGTGCCAGGAAGGTAGAAAATCACTGAATCACAGCAATGAATGAAGAGATGAGGAAGAGAGGTAATTTTGGTTTTGACTCAAAGCAACATTTGGGGCCTTTGTAGATGTTGCCATATTGGAAACAAGGGCAGGGCTGGCATATTCGGAAGAAGCCAGGAGTCCTGCTTCACATCTTTCCATGAACTTGGCGCCCTCCTAACAGAGAATGACTGCTCCAAAGTTGAGAAGCCCATGCCTAGGGAATTTATGTTGCCATTTCCTCAAGAGCTGTATGTGGTGACTCAAGAGATGAGAGTGTGCCAGCTGTCCCTTAAATTCAGTTGTACTCTAGTCACAAGTTCCTACTGTCTTGAAATGCAAAATTGGCAAAGCAGATTATTTTAAACTTGAAATGACTCTTGGGTGGGATGATTATATCATCAGAGCTCTATAAAGTTTGTTTAAACTTCTCAGGGAGAGCATCCACATGGAGTTCTCCTTTTCATGTATTTTATTTCTCTGTCTTACTTCTCATTCCCCAAAGATGTATTCATGGTGAAACTTTGCTATTAACATCTACATTTTCTTTTGAAAAGATTTCTATCTTTAAAAAATGCTCTTCAAAACATAGGACAGGCTCAAGTAGTTAAGAGTACTTGTTACTGTTCTTGTGGGTCCAAGTAAGATTTCATATACCCTAGCCAGGGAGCTTATAACTGCCTGGGACTCCAGATCCAAGGGATCCAATGCAACTTGCCTCTCCCTACAGCCACACATGTAGCATGCATTCATAAATATATACACAGACACACACATGCACACATAGCGAGACAAAAAGACATAGACACATGATCAAAAGCAAATTAATCTTTAAAAACACAGAAATAAATTCTAATTATATTACTAGGCTTGGCATAATTTTTGAAAAATCCATATGGGGGTGTAACAAAACAGTGATCCCTACATAAAAGTCATAAAACTATTTATGAAGTTGAATCTTCAAATTATTTGTAAGGTTGTGAATTACAATTCACGTCCAATGAAAGGTTTTGTTTGACGTATTGCCTGACACTGTATTTGTTTATGTATGTAAACAAACTATGTATAAGCAATTATCTTTCCTAGACTTTTGAATCCTGGGTTTAATCATTGCTGGAACCTTCAAGAAGTAATTTCATAATTTTATAATTCTTCCATTTAGAGAAGTAGTATATATATATACATATATATATATGTATATATATATATTACTTCTCAAAATATATATATATGTATATATATATATATATGTCTAAGTATGTATAAATGTATGTATGCATGCATATGTATATTAGAACCCCCAAAGCTTTCACTTATTAGTGCATTCTTGAACCACTGAATTTCACAGAGATATGTTTATGTAAGCTGTTTTCTTAGTATTTCTCCTACTTTCAAATTAAAGGCATCTTAACAGCAGAGATGAATTTTATCTTTTATCAAATATTCTGCTGCTTATAAACTTTCTGTAATCTCTGTTTATTTATATTCCCTAATTTCATTAACTACTTTAGTAGATGATATATTCATTAAATAATTTAAGCCTACATGGTGCAAGACAATTGGAAACAAAACTAGCTAAAGTTGTGTTTAAATTGCAATTTATAATGATTA